CGTAGAATAATATAATATACTAAATATTCTATAGTATCTTAATCGTCATATTACTACCCTATAGTATTTTTGTACTAATACCATATTGTGAATACATCTTTTTAAACTACATACGAATAAATTATATTTTTTTCCTACAAATTTTTTTTCCTACTTATTATTTTCTATACATGTTTTATACCTTCTAAATACGTATACATTCTTTTTTTAAATATACATTTTTTTTTTTTTTTTCGATTTTCTATATGTTTTTTATATAAACTTTTGTTTTTGATTTACAAATTGTAAGCCTCGTAGAATACTTTCTGGACCACGAGATGAATATTTCGAACCTCAAATAAAAAAAATGATAGAAGTATTTTGTAAATAACCCCTAAAGATAATAGAGCAAGATATTACCCTACCATTACAGTATACCCTAGATATTACCCTAAATGTTACAAGATGTTACCTAGATATTACCCTAGCTGTTACAACATATTACCTAGATATTACCCTAGATATTACAAGATATTACCTAGATATTACCCTAGCTGTTACAAGATATTACCTAGATATTACCCTAGATGTTACAAGATATTACCTAGATATTACCCTATATATTGCCCTAGATGTTACAAGATATTACCTAGATATTACCCTATATATTGCCCTAGATGTTACAAGATATTACCTAGATATTACCCTAGATGTTACAAGATATTACCTAGATATTACAAGATATTACCTAGATATTACCCTAGATATTACCCTAGATGTTACAAGATATTATCTAGATATTACCCTACATATTATCCTAGATGTTACAAGATATTACCTACATATTACCTAAAGATAATAGAGCAAGATATTACCCTACCATTACAGTATACCCTAGATATTATCCTCGATGTTACAAGATATTACCTAGATATTACCTAGATGTTACAAGATATTACCTAGATATTACCCTAGATATTATCCTAGATATTACAAGATATTACCTACATATTACCCTAGATGTTACAAGTTATTACCTAGATATTACCCTAGATATTACCCTAGATGTTACAAGATATTACCCTAGATGTTACAAGATATTACCTAGATATTACCCTAGATGTTACAAGATATTACCTAGATATTACCTAGATATTACCCTAGATGTTACAAGATATTACCTAGATATTACCCTAGATGTTACAAGATATTACCTAGATATTACCCTAGATATAACCCTAGATATTACCTAGATGTTACAAGATATTACCTAGATATTACCCTAGATGTTACCTAGATATTACCCTAGATATTATCCTATATGTTACAAGATATTACCCTAGATATTACCTAGATGTTACAAGATATTACCTAGATATTACCTAGATATTACCCTAGATGTTACACGATATTACGTAGATATTACCCTAGATGTTACAAGATATTACCTAGATATTACCCTAGATGTTACAAGATATTACCTAGATATTACCTAAAGATAATAGAGCAAGATATTACCCTACCATTACAGTATACCCTAGATATTATCCTAGATGTTACAAGATATTACCTAGATATTACCTAAAGATAATAGAGCAAGATATTACCCTACCATTACAGTATACCCTAGATATTATCCTAGACGTTACAAGATATTACCTAGATATTACCCTACATGTTACAAGATATTACCTAGATATTGCCCTAGATATTATCCTAGATGTTACAAGATATTACCCTAGATGTTACAAGATATTACCTAGATATTACCTAGATATTATGCTAGATGTTACAAGATATTACCCTAGATATTACCCTATATGTTACAAGATATTATCTAGATATTACCCTAGATATTATCCTAGATGTTACAAGATATTACCTAGATATTAACCTAGATATTATCCTAGATGTTACAAGATATTACCTAGATATTACCTAGATATTACCCTAGATATTACCCTAGATATTACCTAGATGTTACAAGATATTACCTAGATATTACCCTAGATATGACCCTAGATGTTACAAGATATTACCTAGATATTACCCTAGATATTACCTAGATGTTACAAGATATTACCTAGATATTACCCTAGATGTTACACGATATTACCTAGATATTACCCTAGATGTTACAGGATATTACCTAGATATTACCCTAGATGTTACAAGATATTACCTAGATATTACCTAGATGTTACAAGATATTACCTAGATATTATCCTAGATGTTACAAGATATTACCCTAGATATTACCGTAGATGTTACAACATATTACCTAGATATTACCCTAGATGTTATAAGATATTACCTAGATATTACCCTAGATGTTACAATATATTACCTAGATATTACCCTAGATATTATTCTAGATGTTAGAAGATATTACCCTAGATGTTACAAGATATTACCTATATATTACCCTAGATGTTACAAGATATTACCTAGATATTACCCTAGATGTTACAAGATATTACTTAGATATTACCTAGATATTACCTAGATATTACCCTAGATATTACAAGATATTACATAGATATTACCCTACATATTACCCTATATGTTACAAGATATTACCTAGATATTACCCTAGATGTTACAAGATATTACCATAGATATTACCCTATATGTTACAAGATATTACCTAGATATTACCCTAGATGTTACAAGATATTACCTAGATATTACCCTATATGTTACAAGATATTACCTAGATATTACCCTATATGTTACAAGATATTACCTAGATATTACCTAGATGTTACAAGATATTACCTAGATATTACCCTAGACGTTACAAGATATTACCTATATATTATCCTAGATGTTACAAGATATTACCCTAGATGTTACAAGATATTCGCTAGATATTACCCTAGATATTACCCTAGATGTTACAAGATATTACCTAGTTATTACCCTAGATGTTACAAGATATTACCTAAATATTACCCTGGATGTTACAAGATATTACCTAGATATTACCCTAGATATTATGCTAGATGTTACAAGATATTACCCTAGATATTATGCTAGATGTTACAAGATATTACCCTAGATGTTACAAGATATTACCTAGATATTACCGTAGATATTACCCTAGATGTTACAAGATATTACCTAGATATTACCGTAGATATTACCTAGATGTTACAAGATATTACCCTAGATGTTACAAGATATTACCTAGATATTACCTAGATATTACCGTAGATATTACCCTAGATGTTACAAGATATTACCCTACCATCATAGGTACATCACGGAGAAACAGAAAAGAGGCATGCAAAAAAAATCACCAACCATTCTCTCTTCAGAGCATCCACAGAACAGATCCTTCGCTTGTATTGACTGGAATAGCGGATCCATTTACTTATCGACGCCATCCATCATTATCAGAGAACAGGGATTTTTTTGTATTCTGCGTAGAGCGTAGGGCGTAGGCCTCGGCAGTATGAATCAAATGGATGCGCTTTTGCTTTGTCTGCAAATTGAAACGTTTCTTTCGAGGCCATGCGTAAAAGATAGTTCGTTACAAATTAATTTTTTCTGTTTTATTGATGAGTGACTTAATATTGATAAGACGTTCGCTTTAAAATATATTAAAGTGGCACAACATTTTAATGTGTAAACTCTTGAATTTATGGGATGCATGGACATATTATGGAAAGTATTGTTCTTTTAACAATATCTGTCATGAAATATCTATATTCATGGCTGACAATAATAATTTATTTTATAAACCCTTGGTCCCATGCGTAAAAGGAAAACTTGTTACAAATGGATTTTTCCTGTTTTATTTATGAGTGACTTAATATTGATATGATGTCAGCTTTGACATATTATACATTATGTTAGTTACATATATTAAAATGGCATACCATTTTATTGTGTAAAGGCTTAAATGGATGTGACAAATTATTGAAAGCATTGTACTTTTAACGATGTGTGTTACGTAATATCTGTATTCATTGCAAAAAAAAGTATTATTTTTTAAACCCTGGGTTCATACACGCGATGATGTAATGATGTATTTCTTTGAAAAAATATGACTTTAATGCATCAGAGTATTTTGTTGTAATACTTAGAAAGAAAGAATAATAATAGATCACGCTGCCAAAATGCCTCCAAATATCAAGCTGTATTAATAACAATAGATTACTGTCAGAGGTAAATGCCACATATTTTTCATAAAATGAGAAAACCCCACTACCGGGCTAATTTAGGCCACTACAAAAATGTTTTTTCAATCACTACTGTGCCTATGTGGTTTTAAAACAACAACCACAACTAACACCATCAGAAATTTAATTATTGTTCACTAACAACATACAGAATTGTTGAAGGTAAATTTTTGAATTTTTCACAAATATCTCTATAAAAAAAGAGTGAACATGCTGGTAATGCTAAGAATTGTATTCGACTGATCTTTTTAAAGAACATGGACATAGTTTTATGCTGCTCATTTTATAGAACATTATTTTTTGAATGTCAAACTCTGTCTTCACCAGCGGTCTGGTTGCCAAGTAGCTATCGTTCTGACTACTAGCTTCCCTCACTTCTCATTGGAGTATACATTTCTCAACTCTTGGTCCATCACCCATCATGATGGAACAACTCATGGTATAGTTCATATTCAATCTGTTGCAATTTCGACCTGTGAAGGTCGCACGTACATTAGCTAATTTCCTCATCATGCGTGAAACCGAATATCTGCGATCAGATTTGGTGACAGGATGTTGTTGTTGTTTTTTCTTATCCCACTTGGCTGGCCAAGCCCACGAGCCCATACGTACTCATGATTGAAGGGGAAGGAAGCAGCTTCTGTTGTGATGGAGCACCCCTAGGTAGAAGCCTGACTTTTGCTCCGTGACGCTCTTACAGTCATAGGAGACCGGGACCTACGGCTTAAAGTGGATTCCGAACCACTATAAACATCCATGGCACCGCCGGGATTCGAACCCGAGACCTGTGGCACCGAGCGCTAGACACTCGGCCATTCAGGTCCTAAATTTGCCAACGACACGCGGTGTTCCCAGTACTGACCCACTAAGTACTCACCCAAGTACTGACCGCCCCCACTGATGCTTGACTTCGGTGATCTAACGAGAACCGGTATATTCAGCATGGTACGGCCGTTGGCCAGATTGTTCTCATTAGTATAAAAGTATAATTGCATGTAATATAACTACCCACAATAAAACAAATCTGCTGTTAAATTAGAGTGATGGGTTTTTATTATGTATTTGTCAAATATCATACATTCCTGTCTCCTGGCAATGAAATGCCAAAAACTCTTCCCGTGAAAAAAAATGCTGCACCCACTTTTAGCGTGTTTCCTATAAAATACGCTTATTAATTTCTTAAAAAGTTTCTAGAGATTAAGAAATGGTTTTCTGCAATATTGTCAAATTTCAATATTATTATATAATATTGTAATTTGGGTAAATAGATGCCAGCTATGCCTAATGCTGATCCCAAAAGAGAAAAATATAATAAATAAATAAATAGAATTCATTTCTTCTTTAGAATTGATAATTTTCAGACATTGTTTATTGTTTATCTAAACAATGTATATTATTCAATAAAAGATATGGCAATAACATAAATTCCCAACGAATCCTTTTTTTTTCCAATGGCAAAGCAAGTACAAGAAGAATAAAAATAGTAATAATTACAAAAATAACAAGGAAAAAAATACAAAAGAATAAACGTCCAAAAAAAATGCAAAGATGACCGAAGCCATTGCCTTAAGAGTTCTCTCGCACGCCAGTAAAGCGCTGTCTCCGAGTCGCCGTCAAGTACCGCACATCGTTGGAAGTGGTGTCTGTTCATTGGGTCTGTTGAACCACATAGGGGGCAGCCAGGATTCGAATAAATTTTAATGCGATGGAGATGTTCTGCTAGACAGTCGTGGCCAGTCAGAAGTCCCAATGAATCCTACATTAATAGAAAATATTCAAAATAAAGGATTATAGTATTCAAATACATACTTTTTTATTCGTAGCAGCTTTACGTCTACTATTCATGCATTGGTTCATGTTTGGACACGCCTAATACCACGCCCTGTTTCGATGTCTGAAAAATAGGCAGGAAAAGTTCGGTTTTTATCTTTGTCAGAATTCATGTGAGCGGTCGTTGCTTCTTTATTTATTCGCCATTGATTCATTTGCTTGTTCAATGGTGGCCAACTTTATGGCAGAAAACATCCCATTCACGCATGGCGGGCCTCAGTAGAGTGGACCTGCATTACGCTTCTTGTTTCTATCGCAATCGCCTCGTAACGAGGAATTGTGTGAGGAATAGTATTCAAGGAGCACACGTGCTTTATGTTTATTGTTGTTGTTGGGATTAATCAAAGTATAAAATCAAAAACCAAATAAAAATTATAAAATGCATAAAAAGAATCACGGTTCTGTGATCGGCCTTTTTTTTTTGTGAGGACACTAACCATTTTACCTTTCAGATGCTCCTATTGGCTTCACCGTTCAGCATAATTCCCAATCAGTGATACTGGTAAACAAACATGCTTGTTTGTTTACGTTTTCGCAATATGTCTACGGCATCGACAACTGGTCCCTAATTGTACCGAATTTGAAACTTAACTTTTAAATTCGTTTATTTTTTTTATGGTACTTTTTATCAATAGTATTTTAAATCTTTTTTTTTTTTTTTGAGTACCTACTTTAATTTGAATTTTTAGAAACTTACATCTTAAATCTTACTAACAATAATTAAGCAGCCAATTAAAATTCCAAGCCTATATATGAATTAAGATGAGGAGGTTTAAGGGGTATTTCCCCCTGTTGGTACTCCGTAAACGGTAAGCCAGTTGCCAGTGGGATTAATCGTGATATTTTTCATGCTTGCACTGATATTGGATTATGTCTTAATAAATACATAAGTTATCTATTAAGTAAATCACAAACAGTGTATCAACAATATAACTACCCACAGTAAAACTCATCTGTCAAATACTCCTATATATACATGGTGATTATATCCATGGTGATTATATAAAATCTTCCTATATATACGTCCCACATTCAAAATCCTATAAAGAAATAGCCACTTGTAGCAATAAGTTCAAATTTGAACTGAAGATACTTGAAGAAAGGGGAACGCTAGGGCATCCAAAAAATTCCAAAAAAAATTTCCACCAATTTTTCTCATTCAATTTGTTATGATCTTGTCGTAGTAAATGGGCTTTTCTCTAACAATGCCACAACTGTTGACTGATTTGGAAGACATTTTTTCCTTCAAAAAATCGAAAATTCCGAAAAAAACAAAACAAAACAAACCGAATATAAACATTTAAGAGAAAACTTCAGTAAAATAAACACCATTTGCCAAAATCTCTGTTTTTTCGTACCATAAAATATTGATGAGATTTCACAGAAGTACCACCATTAAAAGTAAACAATACGATTATTTCAATAAATGTGGATTTGAATTAGAAGTTTCAAAAACACTTCCCTTCAATCACTTATAAGAGAGAGTGAATAACAAAGTTCATCTGAATTTTAAATCACTTAATTCCACCAAATTTGACAGGGATTTCGTCTCAGTACCGAATAAAAGCGTGAGTATCCATAAGACTGAGCACAATTTAATAATCCCGTAATTTGCTTTTAATTTGAAAAGGAAAACTCTTTAAAACTTCGCTTGGGCAGTAAAATACTCCGGTTTGTTGTTGTCGGCAGCACTGGCTTTGAAACCGCCATCCAATTCTCGAGTTAATTAATCAAAGTAATTTAAACGCCATTGTCGACACAGGGTCTGGAGAATTCTGCAATTAAATTTAAATGTGGTGCCGTGGAAATCTCGAACGAAAACGACTTCTCTCCAGACAGGACAGTCGGTTAATTAATCACAAATTACTCTTTAACGAACATTTTAATGGAGTGTTTTGAACGAAACACTCGTCGGAGAGAGTTTTTATCTCCCCCCAAAAGAAGGCATCCAATGGAGTTGATTCAATAACCATCCCTGTTTCGTTTAAAGCAAAATGATTTGTACTTTCAGAAAAACACTTTTAAAAAATGTTTTTTTTTGTACATTATTAAAGCAACGTTTAGAACTTTTTTTGTTGAGAAGAATATTTTTAAAAATCGATTTGCCAAATGCAGATATTCGAGTCTTTTTGAGGTAGAGTAGGGGAGGAATAGAATAACAAAAGTGAATGCAGTTTGATGGATGGCAAGATTTTGATTTTTTTTCTACTAGCCCGTTAACTGATTCCATTACTGAATGCTCGTAAAGAGAATATGTGTTAGCATTTTCAAAAAAGCAGTAATCTCTCCTTTTTTATGTTTGAGAAAGAAGCGTTATTTTTTTGTAAGTATTTTTCATTACATTGCAAGAAAAAAATTTTAATGTGTGAAATACCTTTTAAGGATAATTTTCAATTATGTACTTTAATATTCATGTTTAAAATATGTAGTTTTTAGTAATAAAAGCAGAACAGATTTCCTTATATGCGTAATCAAGTTGATGTAATTGACACCTGAGAAGATATACTTATACGCCAAGTGATATAAAGCGCACTCAGACTTGCCAAATAAGTTTTACCAAGGCTAGAGAAAAAAAATGACTTTTTAAAAATCATTTGAGGGAAACAACCCCTTATTTATGCTACATATGAGTGTCGTTATCTTCATCGCCAAATATAATGAAAAACTTTAACTTTCAAAATGTATTTATTATTTTGTTTTTATAAATTTATATTTTTTATAAATTTCAAAACATATCTTTGAATTTTTTTTTAAAAATAGCAGCAGGTCCAATTTTAGCTCGTTAAATTTTTAAAGTAGAATTAATGATTGGATTATTAAAATGGAATAACAGTTTGATGGATTTCCTGAATTCCATATATATATATTCTAATCAAGCCATTAAATGGTTCCATGGCTGTCTGTTATTCAGAAAAAAATATAAATAAGTAGTAGGAAAAAGTAGTATGTCTGTGGGTGTTGTTTTTTTGTAGTGATTTTTGCTTTTGTTGCATGTCTGATTAAATTGTAAGGGTTAATGGAAATGAGCCACAAGCCTTTGAACGACTAATTTTTCAATCATATCTTTTACAATTCAAGTTTGTACTACGTAATAAAATTCACCTCTTGTAAAACGTTTGATGAAAACACTCCCATATTTATGTTACATGTAAAAGATATCATTTTCGTAAGGAGTTGAACAATGAATAAATATCATGTCAAGGGAGATGAAAAAACATGAAATTTTGACATTTTTTTAAACATTTTTCTTTAAATTTAAGGTTCAGAACAAATTTTCGAAAGATTATTTTAAAATCGTTTCGCCAAATTGAAAAGTTCAAGTTTTTACCGGTAGAGTCATTGATTGGTTTAATAAAATTGAATGACAGTTTGATTGATTACTTGAATTTAATATTTTTTTCTAATCATTTTAATATATGGTTCCATTGCTGTCTGTTATTCAGAAAGAGAATATAAGTTGTTAGTTGGAAAAAGTAGTTCATCTGTTTTTTTTCTTTCTGTATGTCTGATCAAATTGGAAAGGTCAGTAGAAATAGGTCCCTTCTGTTTGAAAGACTTTCTTTTCATACATCTTCACAATTCTAGTTTGAAATATGTAATGAACTTACTTCTAAAAGGTTTGATTTTTTTTACTTGCCGCTCTACGGTCATTTTGTGCACACTTTGGACTAATTAGTCCGGTACCTATAGTTTAACGTGGATTCCAAAATACTCACAAACATTCATGCCACTGCCATGAAGCCTGTGTGGTACCAAAGGCTATAGCGATAGCCAATTAGCCCTCAGGCCACTGTACAACGTTTGGGGTAAACAATTTCATATTTATCCCACATATGAGAGACACGATCTTCACAAGGAGTCCAACTACAACCAATTTTCAAAAGATTTTAAAAATGGATTTCCCAATTAGAGAAGTTCAAGTCTTTTCAAGTAGTATGAGTGGTTAAATTAATAAAAGTGAATGGCAGTTTGAATGATTACTAATCAGATCAATAAATGGTTCCATAACTATCTGTTGTTCAAAAAGACAATATAAGTGAGTAGTAGGAAAAATTAGTATATCTCTGTGTTGCGTCGAAACCCAGGTCCCCGTGCATAGGGGAAGTCAACGCCCTATGTCCAGTAA